TGGAGATGAGGCCAGTCTATGTCCACACTCTGTATCCAGGGTCAGGACTCGGGGCAGCATGAGTGGCCAGGTCCAGGGAACTCTTTTTGATGGGCATATAAACCAGAGGATCCTCGCTTTCACAGAATTCTTGAAAGGATAAAAATCTGTTCTTAGAATGCCTGTACTGGAATCGAAAGCTATTTTGGGAGCAGCAGAAGCTTCAGTCGTTAGTTGAAGATTTATGAACAGGATGTTTATGAACTCAGAGATGTTCCCGCATGGCTTCACACCCCGAGCACAGCACCAGCCCTACGACAGAAGAGAGGCCCTGCACTGCCAGGTGGAAAACAGGAGGAAGAATGTTACTTTGATCTTAGGAAGAATGTGGAGGTAGCATAAAGCAGTGCAGGCCACTCTGGGCTTGGCACTTGTGGTCCGAAAACTCCCTCTAACTATAGGCCTGCAGTGTGATCTTGAGCCACTTCTCATTCTCTCTCCTTCTTAGTTTCCATTTTTGCCATGCTAGAGAATAAACCAGGTGCGCACTGAGGTCCTTCCAGTGTTGCCCTTCTTGAGACCTTGGTTCTGGGGTGTTGTGGCTTGCTGGTTGAGTTGGATTTCAAGAGATGGACTGTATTGGAAAGGTCTTCTTCAAGAAGATGTCCTCTGTGAATCCTGGACCATTGCTTCCTCCCTCCTCATACTCTTGACATTGTCTGTTCTCCCTCCCATCACACTGCAGCCTGCTTCATCTCTTGAGGTTGTCTGTACATTTGGACACCAGGAGCTAACCCCTCCCCACAAATTGCTATGTACTGCTCAATGGGCAGGGAGAGTCCTTCTGCTTTTGACTACTTCCCAAAGGCCCTTCACTCAGGAGGACTCAGGTGGCAGGGTACTATTCCTAGAGATTAAAATCTGATCACTGGGGCTGGAGACATAGCTCACTTGGCAGAGTGCTTGCATTGCATGTGCAAGCCCCTGGGTTCAATCCCCAGCACACACACACACACAAAAAAAAAAAAAGAAAAAGAAAAATCTGATTACTGAATAGTTCAGACACCTGAGATAATGACTGAGCAAGGAAGACCAAGGTCACTGCTCCTTTGTCTGGTGTACCCAAGGATGGGAGAGAGGCCACATGAAATGCATACTCAGAGATTCCTGCACCCAGAAGATTCCCTGAGGCAAGTCCTGGAATCTCCTTCTTCTCCATCCCCCAGCCTCAAAGTTCCTGGTGGACTGTTCCAGGCCTTCTCATCTACTGTCCTCATCAAAATAGCCCAGGGAGGGAACATGGAAGGATGGAATGAAACTGAATTTCTTCTCAGCTGTCTTTTGTCTCTGGCTGTCAATGAACTAATTTCTTTTGGTTTTGGAAATGGTCCCTCAGAAGCAGAACGGAAGCAATGTTTTGTGTGAAAGTAGTCAATTAAAGAAATGCCCTGGTGGAATCCAGTAAGGTATAATTGGATATAAGGAGGCACAATTCAGTGTACAGGGCTCCAGAGCAGAACAGGGGCTGGCAGGCTGAACTCAGTCTTTTATTGACTTCCTGTCAGATACTGGAAAAATCTCTCTCCCTTCTGGGCCTCAGTTTCCCCTCCTGTGCTGCTGGGCTAAACATCCCTCCTGCCTGCCTCATCTTGGGCTCAGGTTGATCACATTCTCACTCCTTAGGCCAATCTAAACTCAAGAGGGTGCCTCATCTCAGTGCCTCCCAGGTACAACCTCTAGGCATAATCTTTGAACCCAGGGTGCTTAACCACTGAGCCACATACCCAGCCCCCCCCCCTTTTTTTAAAAACATTTTGTTGAGACAGGATCTTAAAATAATAGGACCTTGCTAAATTGCTAAGGCTGGCTTTGAACTTATGATCCTCCCTGAGACACTGGGATTAGAAGCATGTGCCACCACACCCAGCTGGCATGGTCCTCTTTGATGTCCTCTTTGAAGTGTACCAAATAGTCTTTGCTGGCAAGTCAGTGGAAACAGGCTGCAAGGGCTGTGAATGCCTCGGCTGCATCTCCCTGCATTCTTATCTCCAAACCCAGCTGGAGACTTGATGTATTTATTTGCTCCTCCCAGGGCCGCCTCTAGCCAACCTGCAAGTCTGCCAGTGCTGTGAGAAAGTGACCTTCCTACAGATGGCTGTCTGGTAACCAGGTGGGGGTGAGGAGGAGGGGGCTACTATAAATCCTTCCAGCCTGCAACCCAGAGGTGACCCAGTTGGGGCAGAGAATGCAGGAGGCTTGGAGGAGGTGGGGGTACAGGAACCCGGAGAAGTGACTGGGGATAGGGTCACCTAGATCCTAAAGGGACTAGAATCAGAAGAGGGGCGAATAAGAGAAGGAAGGAAGAGAAAGGTAGAAAAGGGAAGAGGCAGGGATGGGGAAGGGAGAAAGGAGCAGAGTGGTGAGAGGGGAAGAAGTAGGCAGTGCTTTCTGGAATGTTCTGGAAGTCAGCACAGGGTCTTTCGCATGGTGTTGGATTCTAGTGGTTTTTATTGTGTCAATTTAAGTACTTTATATATGTTACCCCATTTAATCCTCACAATTTACTATGTATTATCTCCCCCAATTTGCATATGAGATCCCAGAGGCCAGGTAATTTCTCCAAGGTCACACAGCAGAGCTTGTATTTGAACCCACATCCCTCCAAAGCCTAAATTCTAACTATAACATGCACCGTTCAGAGAGTACCTCCAGGGGGCAGGCCTCACCCCTCCTCCCTACCTCTTCTGATTTACTGTAGAATGGTGAGCCACAGCCTGGGGTGAGCCATAGCTTTGGCTTTCTGGCTGTAGAACTGTAGGGGAAGTCAGTCCTCTGCCCTCCATCTGCGTGATGAAGGCAGATTAAGACCATCAGACAAGCCACTCTGGATTCCACGGTGTCTCCTATCACACTTGTCTGACTGGCTTACTTTTTGGAAAATTTCTGTGGTTAGTTAGCTAGCTAGCTTTTGTAGTCTGCTTGGCTATCAAGTTTAGGATATTTATAATATTTATAAACTGACTTAAGCATAGTCTAGGCGGCTGGTTATTTTAGAGAATTCCTTTGGGCTGAGTATAAGGAAGTTCCTAGAGCCAAGAATGAAGGAATTTCCTCCTCATTTAACAGCAAATATATTTTATAAGGGTGTATAGAGACTTCCAAACTTCCTATTGTTGTTGTATTTTGTTTTTCTTATTTATTTATTTTTGCTTGGGAGGAGTCAGTGGAGATTCTTCACCAGAGTCTCCACTCACAGCTGCTGAATTCAGGTTCAATGGAGTTGAACTTGGATTCAGAGACAAAAACAACTGGTGGTACTGTCTCCATCCTTCCCTCAGGCCCAGGCCTGGGCTTGTACCTTAGACCAGGACCCAGGCCAGGTCCTGAGAAGCATGTTCCCTCCGAGTCCCTGGCCTACATTCTATTTCATCTCCCTCCAGATGTCCTCATCCTATGCCCACCCTCATGGAGGGGTTAACACTCCCATGATCACTCTTACTTGCATTGTAGCTAGAGATGGGGATTTCCCAGACAATACTCATCCTCAGTGGGGACAGTATCACTCTATAAGGGGCAAAAATTCACCCTGGGTGGGTAGCTAACAACCTCAGGTATTGCAATGGTTTCTGACCCTCCAAAGGATCACGCTTCATAAGTATGTTGTGCACAAAAAAGAAAATGGTCTCATTTTCATGCATGATCCTTTGGTTTTTTTAAACTCAGACTTCACACATGCTGGGAAAGGGCTCTACCGCTAAGCTACACCCCCAGCCTTCAGATGATATGATCTTGTGTCTCAAAAATCTTCAGGAATTTACAGTGTATCTCTGGCATTAAAGTTTCATTGGTTAGAAAATGAAATTAGGGGAAAAAAATCTAAGAACGCTCTTTAGGGGCACAATAATGGAAAAAAGAGAGACCGAGAAACGCTTTCCTAAAAGAAAAAACAAGAATTAGGATAAGTTGACCAGAACGCTGGGTGGGTAGCATTTGGAGACCTTTCTAATCATCTGTGATTGGCAGACCAGGAGGGAATAGGAAGGGGAGACCAGGAAACCTTCCCCCACCCCGAGGCTGGGTCCTCTTTAGTGTGTACTACAGATGGTGCCGGTCTAGACACAGGCTCCCTGTGGGCAAACCCCAGTTATGCCACAGGCAAATGTACTGACCTTGAACAAGATATTCAGCTTTCTGTCCCTGTGTTCATAGCAGGATGAGGAAGATGTCAGCTGTAGGTTTGCTGGGAGGATTGAATGAGATTATTTGTGCTAAATGGTTTAATAGAGTCCGGCACTTAGTTACTTTTCTCTTGTCTGTGAACTTTATTCACCTGGTTGTCCCAGGGGCCAGGTTTGCCCACTCCTCAGTCCCTCTGATCCCATTGGTTGCCTGGGCCCCACTGGGGTTCATGAGCTGAGGCAGAGGCCCTGCCAATGCTTCTAGAACAAGTTCTGGGGAAGGAAGCAGACTGCACTGGGGAGCCACCTTAGCAGTCCTCTGCAGGAGCTCCCACCCACATGTCTACGGTTCCATGGATTTCTCAGTTGCCAAAGTCATAAAGACCTGAAGACTCTCTGTTCCTAACTCTATTCCTAACCTTAGTCACCAGTGACCCAAAATCTGATCTAAACCCACATCCTACCCTAGCGCCCCAAGATAAGCCCTTCAGCCCCTCACCCAGGTTCCTAACCCACCCCATCCTTGCCCTGATCTAACATGGGCCCTAACCTTAGCGCTCGGGCTCTCATGCGAGTTCTCTCTCTCTCTCTCTATATATATATATATGCGAGTTCTCTCTCTCTTTCTCTCTCTCTCTCTCTCTCTCTCTCTCTCTCTCTCCCTCCTGTAGCCCTTATCCTAATTCCACTGGTAACTCAGAATTTCCCAAACTTAGGTCATTCATTTCCATTGTCACAGTGTTGCTGTCCTTGTGTCACTTCTGAGCTTGCAATTATTTGGTATCTGTCCTAAGTGGATCTTGAAAGAATCCCACATTAGCGCTTGAGCAACTCTCTCAGAAATCATGGTTTTGATAGGTTGGTTTTAGTGTTTCAAAAAGATGTTAAAACAAATATAAAATGTTTAACATTTTGACACTGCTCTCCATGCACCCGCTACCTAAAGTTTTCTCCCACCGTCCTCTAAGTGTGCGTGGCACTTTAGAAAGGCTGAGCTATTTCAGCTTAGCCTGTCAGCGCCAGTTTTCCACCCACGCCCCCTGCCTGGCCGCAGCCTCCTACCAGACGGGTAGGCTGCAGCGCCCTCTGCTGGCAGAGCCTGCGAGCAGCCCTAGCCTTGCTCTGCTGGACAGGTTCACAGTATCCTACCCATCTCTGGTCCCACGCTTACTAGCTATAGTGTTCCCTTAATTTTGTAGAGTGAAGCAAGGTGAGAAGGACACATGTGGGGGAGTTGGGTAGAGTCAAACTGAGGCCAAAGGAAGAGCTAGGATCTAGGATCTAGGGGTCTGCTGGGAGGAGTGGAGTGAAGGTCAAACTTTGAAGTGTAGAGTTGTCTGGGCAGGGCAGGTTCAGTAAGAAAGGGTGCAGGATGGGAGAACAGTGGCACCAAGGGTTGGGGTAGCAGCTAGGAGTTGTACGGGTGGAAGGATGAACAAGGTTGGGGCTGGGATTTAAGCAGATTTTTAAGCGAACTTCACTGAAGCATGAGCCCTTGGTTCTTAGAGGAGGCCCTGAGGCAGGGCTGGGCTGAGTTGTCATAGGAAGGCTTGTCTCTGTCTCAGGCCTGTCTCCCATTTGGTGTGTCAGGAGCACAGAGCCACCTATTGCCCTGATCCCCCAAGGTAGGCCCCCTGTTCTTCTTGGTTCCCTCAGACCCCATGGCTCCAGTTGTCCATTCTGTCCCAGATCTCATTCAGAGAGAGAGAGAGAGAGAGAGAGAGAGAGAGAGAGAGAGAGAGTGTGTGTGTGTGAGTGTTACTAGGAATTGAAAGGTTTGTGTCACCTCACTGGGCAAGGAGGTAATTCTTGAAGTTGGTGCCTCTATCGCTTCACATGGCTTTCCCCTTTGGAAATGATCCTGAGGCAAGCTTATCCTGGATTCCCTACTTGCATTAGGGGTCTCACATTCAAGCCCTGAAAGATCCCTCAAAGCACAACTGTGCTGGGCTAATGCCTGCTCACCCATGCCTGGGAGAACCCCTCCTTCCCAGGGAAAAGGTATCTCAATGGCTCCTCTGAGATGGACTTAGCAATTTGTGATCAGGCTTTTCCTCAGATTCACATCTTTATTAAAGGTTGTGACAGTGGCAAAAGGGCAGGGTGTCCCTTTATTGTAAGCAAGCATGGTGGGACTGGGCCTCAGTGGGCACTGCTCAGCCCAAGGCTAGGCTGAAGGCAAAAATGAGAAGTGGCCCCAGATGGCCTTGCCATCTGCCAAGAGGGTCAGAACAGCCAGGCCTCCCTGGCTCCCTTCTTCACCTTCATCCATTGGCCTGTTCAGAAAAAGATTTAATAGGCTACTATTGTGATCTTATTTTAGATGCAGTTTTCACTGTTAGAGCCAGTATGATGGGAACAAGTTCCTATGGAATGCCTTAGAGGGTCTTCAGGGTACCTACTGGGTGGGCCTGAGGCAAGGACACACAAGACTTCACCAAAGTCCAACAGCCATGGAGTTCGGAGGCTTGGGCTGTCTGGAAGCATGCCAGGAGCCAGGAGCCAGGGAGGAGGAAAGGAACAGGGGGAGGCTGGGGAAGGCACAGTAGTTCTGCTTGTCAGTGGGGATGGTCCTGACCTCCCTGTATTCTGATACTGATCTCTGGTGTGACCATGAGCTGGGCAACCAAAGGCTTAGGATGGGAGCTAGGGTTCAAGGATGAGAACACCTCTTATCCACTACCCCAGAGACCTGCTATTCATGCCTAAAAACCCAGGATGGCAGAGCTGGATGGGAGCTCTGAGGCCATACAGGCCTGTTGGCCCATTTCACAGATGGGGACACTAGAGTTCCAAAAGAGGCCTCTTCTTAGTCACATTCAATGCACATGGTCAGAGACAGAGACAGGACTTTCTTAGCCATGCCATGCTGCTTCCCCCTGGAGGAGTGTCTATCAGAGCGGGTGTTCTCAGACTTGAGCATGCACTAGGATCACCTGTTGAAACAGATTGCTGGACCCACCCCCAGAGATCCTGAGTCTGCAAGCCTGAAATACAGCCCACAGATCCACATTTCCAAGAAGTTCTCAGGGGGGTAGGAATGCCTCAGGTGGAGCTAGGGACATCCCTTGGGACATTGCTGGGGAGGGCTCAAGGTGGGGCAGCACAGGGAAGGTCAAGGGTCACGTTGAGGTGGGGGTCTGATGGCCTGAGGACCAAAGAGTGAAGCTATTATGCAAGGAAGGCATTTTCAAGGCTGGGAGGAAGGAAGCAAGTTTTGAAGGGTCAGACTACAAGAAGGTGGAGAAATGGCTTCTAGCTCTCTCTGCTGATCTGAGGCCCTCTTGGGATGGAAATGCTTCAAAAAGGAAGTGAAGAGAGAGCTGGCCTCCAGGCGTGTAGAGGCTGGGAGAACCCAGATTCAGGAGAGGTTTAGTTTGAAAGGCACTTTGGGTACCCATGAGGCTACTGGTGTTGCTGCCAGTGTCATCATAGATGGCTATCTGTGGGAACAATCAGCAGATCCCTTAGGTCAGGAAGGTGGCATGGTTGGGGCAATAGGAGGGCCACTTAGAGAGCCCAGAGGTCATGGCTTCTTCCCTCAGGACCTTCCTGATTCTGGCTCCTGGAGAGAGAGGCCTGGGGATTGGGTGTCTGGGGCTGGTTAGGGGTAAGTGCTTTGCCTCTTTTTAGAGAGGTTTTTAGTGAGGAGGAATTTGGTCCCAGAGAAAGGGAAGTGATTCTGGACCAAATGATAACTGAGTACTAAGTACCAGAACTTGGGAATGCTGTGATAGGTGGGGCCTGGCTCAGGGACCCCCTCCCTCTCTGCCTACCAGAGACCCTATACCAGTCATCCCCTCCTCTCAGCTCTGCTTGGCCTTTTCTGCCAAGCTGTGGCCAGTGAGAGGTGTGGAGCTGCCTTCTGCCTGTGCCAAGGCCGGGCCCTCCAACAGACCTTCCAAGTAGGTGCTCAGGGCCTGCAGTTTGAAAGCAGGCTGGGCTGAGGGTGATGAGGTGGTCTGCAGGCTCAGGTAGTGGCTGTACTTCTTCAGGCCCCGCTGAGGGTCACTGCGATGTGTGGTCAGCAGCTCCAGGAAGCTCACATTGTGCAGGGCCAGGAGGCGGGCTTCAGCCCGGGGCAGGACGGCCGCCTGAACCAGAGGCTGCAGGGAGGCGAAGCACTGCAGGCTACTGAAGGGGTAGACGTGCTGGGCCAGCTGCGGGCCTGGAGAGACCTCAAGGAGGCGGCACAGGTCACGCATGGCTAGCACGGCGGCCAGGGCACTGCGCTCACTCATGTTTCTTGCTAGGTAGGTCTTAGCCAGGCTCTTGAGTTTAAAGCTTCTGGCTCCTGGCACGCGCTCCCGGATGAGAGGCAGCGCAGCCAGGAAGCCCGAGATGGCCTCCTGGAATTCCCACAGCCTGTTAATGTCCTCCAGGGCCTGGAAGAAATTGGGGAGGCCAGGCCCCCACAGCTTATAGCAGGCCAAGATGGGGCGGCGCATGGAGCTGAGGAAACTGAGGAAATGCTGCAGCCCCACCTCCAGGGAGACGGCCTTGGAGTAGACGCTGAAGGCCTCGGGCTGGATGAGCACACGAAACTTGCTTTCCCGGTTCACAGCTGCCAGCTGGCTAATCTTCTGGGCTGGGCAAGAGAGAAGGGCAGGGTGAGGGCCCAGGAGCACTGGAGGGCTGGTGCAGGGGGACATCAAGGGGCTATCAACCCACCATTTAGAGATCCCACCTTGGGGCCTGCTGGCAGGAACCAAAAACTGGCCTCCAGATGCAGGTTGGACCTGGCTCTGATGGGACAGAGGTCAGGTAGGCCGCCCACCTTGTTCACCTGGGGATCTAGCTCTTCCCCATACCGCCCATAGCAAAGTTGGCCAAATCCTCAGGACCCAGATTCCTCCTGTCTGTTTTCTATCGGCTTCTGTGACCCCAGACTGTTTCTTCCCAGCCCCTCACTCCACACTCCTGCCTGCAATCCCATCAGTCACTTAACTGAGGCTCCCCAGAACACAGACAGCAGAACTGCCCAGCATAGTCCCCTAGGACCATGGCTACAGCCTCCTACAGAAGTATGCAAATGACTTTCCTCTACCATGAAAACACCTGCTGCTTCTAGCCCCAATGTCAAGTCCATGCTGCAGGGCAGGGCCCAGGGCTTCTGGCTTCAAGAGGGGCATTACGGAGCCACGGAAAGCATGAAGGGGAAGGAGAACAAAGGGCTTCTGAGAAAAGGGGTCATAGGATCTGTGACTTTGACTCTGTTTGCCTCCCTGTGCCTCCATCTGTGGGATGGGCCTGGTACTCAGAAATGTACAGCCATAGCCAAGGTCTCGAAGGATTACTAGTCTCATCAATGAAACACACTGTTTAGAAGTGTGTTCCCAGGCTCTAAGAGATGGTCTGGTCAGAGGTGAACTCATGGAGGAACATGCCTCCCTCCCAAATGCAAGTATTGTTCCAGGCAGATGACCTGTTCAGACCGCCAAGCCATGCATGTGTGACAACAGGGGAGCCAAAGAGCTCTGCCCACTGTGGCTGCAATCACTGTGGCTGAGCTCAGGCTGACCTGGGCCTCATTGAGAGCTCTGCCTACACTTTCCTTGGAGACTCAAAGACTAAGCTAGAAAGGGGTGGAGGTGGCTTCAGAAGAACCCACTTTCATTGTCAATCTTGAGGTCAAAGAAAACCAGGGGCCTGTCTTCTGCTCGGGGGTCGGCGAGGCTCTCGTCCAGGACCCTGAGGGAGCTGGGGCCCTCCAGCTGGAGGTCACTGGACTCGCTGCTGCTGTCATCCAGCTCTCGGGAGGACTGCAACACAGAAAAACCAACAGGTCAGGGGTTCAGAGGCCTTAAGGAGGGAACTGGCAAGGTGAGCATATGACCAGGAGCAAGTGTGGGCACTTGCCAGGGCCTCTGTGTGCACATGAGGGAGGGCACATTTGGGGAATGTAAGTTCAGGACAATGTGTTTACGTGTGTGTGTGTGTGTGTGTGAGAGAGAGAGAGAGAGAGAGAACAGGTGAGAACTGGGTGTGTCACATGTGAGAGCCATAAGTGTGAATCAGGGTACCTGCCTTAGGGAAAGAGTATGTGTGTCGGGGGTGTGGAGAGTTCATGCAGGCAATCAAGCATGTGCATAGCTATGGATGTGTGGAAATGAGCTTGAGTGTCAAGCATAAGTGTGTGTGCACAAGGGGCATGAATCTGTGGACCTGTGTGGATATAAGCATGTACAAGTATGAGAAGATTTAAGTGTGTGGGGGCAAGTTGTGCTGCTCGTGGAGACTCAGGGAAAGGATGGCCTTCCCTAGTGGGCAGAACCTGAGCTATCTGCTACTAATTTCATGTCCCTGCACAGACTCAGAAGAAACATCACAAACTTGGGACAGGAAGGAGCCTCATATGGAACCCAAGGAGATTTTTTCAGAAGGGGCCAGAAACATGGTTTTCCTTGTCCCCAAAGCCAGCTGAGATCTCAGAGTCCTATGCAAGGGGAGAGAGAGACTGCTCAGCCTCTAAACATCACATCTAGGTGGACACATAGGTCCCAGGCAGTGAGAGGGCAGTGGGGGGAGCCCAGAGCCCTGGAGCTTGGAGACCACTTATCTTACAGCATCTAAGCCCCAGCTGCACAGAGGAGCCTGGGTGTCTTGGGCTTGGCATTTGAAATTTTGCTCTCCAGCACCAATGTCAGCCCTGGCTGGAACACTGTCTGAAAGGCCCCAAGGTGGGGATCCTGAGGAGGTGGAAAGTGCTCCAGAGGGCTGCAGAGCGGGGTGTAGCCTCTGGTGATAAAAAGGAGTTAATTGGGGGCTGGGGTTTGGCTCAGTGGTAGAGCACTTGCCTAGCATGTGAGGCACTGGGTTCGATTCTCAGCACCACATACAAATCAATGAAATAAAGGTCCATTGACAACTAAGGAATATTAAAAAAATAAAGGAGTTAATTGCTTGTCATGTGCATAACTGCCAAACCCAGATGTCTTGTCTTTGGTGAATGTCCTGTGAATGCCACCTGTGGATATTAGTCAGGGACCAAGAAGAAGTGGCATGGCCACTGTCTCAGAATCAGCTGGGGGCACTACTGGGACAGAGCCCACAGAAGTCCTCATGTACTTATGTACTATCTCTGGCTTGTCAATGGAGTTGGTGTCACTTGGGGCTGGAGCTCTATTTACTTTGGGCTCTGGCTAAATTCTTGGTCTAGGAGTCAATTAGCACATTCCCAGGACCCCTCCACTGTCTAGGTGAAACATTTGTTTTCCACAAACTTCAGCCAAGAGAAAAATCATTACTGCCCACAAGCAAGTAAAAATGGGGTGGATTTTCCTCAGAGTAACTGCTTTTTACTCCGTTTGCATTTCATTGCCTCACACCAGGCTCTCCAATTTGTCTCCAGTCACTGACAGAAGTAGACATCATTATGGATGCATCTAGAACTGGTTTTGCCTTTTTACATCTAAGGATCTGAGGAGCACTTGCCAAATACCTGTATCTCTGCATCCTTGCTCGGCTGCATGGTCAAAGGCTGATTTGACATCTTACTGAGTGATCCCATCATACTGCTTTCTCCTTTTGTAGGGATCCTTCTTTGAGGGGTCCTCCAGGTTGCTAGCTGGGAGACTTTAGACTCCGCCTTCTTGCCTTTCTTGGGCAAACTGTTTTCTATCTCCAGGCCCTTGAGGGGTGGTGCTGTCCTGCTTGGGTTGGTGGAAGGAGCTGGGCTGCTCTCACAGGTCTTTCCCAAGCCTCAGTTCCTTCTTGCCAATGGCTGAAGAGCTGTTTCCTTGGCTGAGCCCATTCTGCTACCCACTGATATGGCACATTGGGTTTTCTTGTCTCCATTCTTCTTTTTGCTCCAAACATAACTACAAATGCTCCTTGATGGCTCTGAGCACTTCCACCTGGCTCATTCCTTCAGACCTCAGAGTCAGGCTTCTCACCTTCAAAGCTGTCTTCCAAGAGGAGGGCTCTCCAGAGAAGAGAACCACACAGCAGTACCTTTGGACCTCCTTCCCTGTCTTCACAGCAGGTCATTCAGGGATGCCACCAGAATCTCATTTAGAGCTTCCCATTGTTGTAGACATGGAACTGTGCTTTGTCCTGAGTAAAATGAAGCTGCTTCCCTAAGGGAGCATGGCTGGTTCCTCACTAACAGGACACTCCCTTCCCTGAGCTTGTCAGTGGAAGAAAGGCGGGAGCTTTCAGCCCTGACACCTCCTCCTCCACTGTTCCTCTTGAGGGGTTGCTATAAAGTATGGCGTGAGACCAGTAAAGAAGGACTGGTCCCACAGGAATGCCTTGCATTTAATCCATCCACCTATAAACCCTCAATCCCCCCTGCTCCCCTTCATTCCCAGCAGCACAGCAGGGTTGTGCTGAAACCCGGCACTTTAAGCAAGACTTTTCTAAAGTCTCGGCCACCAGAAGGGCAATCAGCACCTAGAAGGCCTGGCACCAGACATATTTTCCTCCCTGCTCACTAAGGGAAACTCTCCTGTCCCACCTTTCAGGCCCCACTCCTCAAATTCTTTATTCCACAAATCACAAAGCTGGGTGTGAGGGCAGGGGTGCACAGAGCAGATAGTCCTTGGTAAAGGTTTGCCTGGAGGGGAAAGCAAAAGGGGGAAAGAAGGCAGTGGGGTAGAGAAAAGAGGTGCCTGTCCATGGGTGAGGACCAGAGAAGGAAAAATGATAAACTCTGGAGTGGGAGCAAGGGGAGGAGGAATTGCAGAAGTGCTGGTAGGGGTCATAAATTGATTCCATTTACTATTCTCTGAAAGAGGCAAGTACATACTGGAAGGCATTTATTATTATTATTATTATTATTATTATTATTATTATTATTATTATTATACTTGGTTAGTGAACTGTGTTTCTCTGAAAGCAAAACCACTCAGATGGAGCCACATGGGATCCAGGACATTTTCAGAATATAAAAGCAACTAGGGTAGACTTGCACTGTGGCTCACCAGCTGTGTCTACCTCACTCCTCCTCATCACAGATCTCAAGCTGGAGTGGGTCAGCTGCACTCCAATTCAATATGGCAGGTCTGTCTGCCATACCAAGGGTGCTCGTGGGAAGTGATGGGTTGACACTGGAGCTTCCAAAAGTCCAGGAGGTTTACTCAGAAGATGCCTAATGTATTATACCCAGTATGAGTTCATTCAGGGCACATATGTACAATTGAATCCCCCAATTCAGTGTCCCTTGACTTTGGCCAAGCATTAGTAGCATTGAAAAACTCTGAAGCCCAGGCTGCGCCCTAGACTAATGGAATTAGAACATCTGGAGGTGGGACCCAGCAATCTGTAGTTGCTAAAATTCCAAGCTAGAACAACTGGAGGTGGGACCTAGCAATCTGTAGTTGCTAAAACTCCCAAGCTTGAGAACCACTGTCCTAACTTCAGATTCATTTCATGTTTGGTCATCAGCCAGACATGAGCCAAATTCTTTGACAGTCAGCATCCAGCCTCCTAAAAGGATCTAGTGTCTGACATTAATGCTCTGCAATAGTCCCTGACCTCCCAACTTTCTAAGCACCCAAGCTTCAGCTACAGCTGGGATCATTTTGGTAAGACACACATATTTTTGGTTTTTGCAGACACAAACCCCAGCTCTTATAATCGTGAAGGCTCTGGAGACACAGCACATGTAACAATGAACTTGGGTCATCCCATTGGCTAGCCTGTGGCCTCTGCAGCCCTTCCGCTTGCTGCTCTGGCCCCTGTGAAGGCAACACTGCCCCACAGCAAATGTGGCTCTCACCTTCTCAGCCAAGCACTCAGGTCTTTTTTTTTCTGATATGCACACTCATCAGCATCATGGCCCTCCTCTGGACCAGCTGCTTCCCACAGGCCTCCCTTCCTCTGCTGGTCACCACTGCCATGGCTGACACAGGCCACCCCTAGGCCAAGCCCCTCCTATTTCCGTTTGGTTCTGCTGCTGCCACTGAGGCACTGGAGCCAGTCATCTGTCACAAAAGTAGATGAGAACATCTATCTTGTGCTGCTTTATGTACTAAAAGAAGGCCCCTGTTAGAGATCTTGCTGACCCACTCTTGCAGTTTTTAAACAGTCCTCATCCCACAGCAGGCCTGGGACTGGCCCTCCACCCCATGACTGCATGCCCACTCCCTCCTCCAGCAGGGATGAACTCTTTCTGGAACATTCCTCTTTGCTCAGTTTCTCACCCAAGTCCCATAAGGGCAAAGTCCAGCAACAGACACAGCCGAAGTCCATGCAGAGTCCCCTCCTCATCCCAGGGACACTTGGAAAATGTGCAGCTTCAGCAGGCCAGTATTCCACAACTCTCACTCACTGTAAGGCTGGATAAAGGCTGCAGATGGGGAGGACATAGGGATGGGGCTCTCTAGAGCACCCTAACCCCTTGCTCTGGGGAGTGGGAACTTGCATTGGAGATACTGAAGGTGCCCTAGGATCACTAGGGGTCTGGAAGGGACCATGAAAATGGGTGAGAAATACACAAAGGGGACTTAATTTGTTCTTGTTGTTTTAAATACTACATATATATTTGAAAGTTTGGGACTCCTATAATGATTAATTTATTTTTATGTATTTCTAAAGATTATACATGCAAAAGCAGTGGGCGTCTGGCTGTCTCCCATATCTCCGGTCCAGCTCTAAAGCAAGCAGGCTTCTGGTTTTTCACTTCATAACTCAAAATATACTTATCCCTCCAACCTGATTAACCCCACTGACTCCTTGTGGATAGCTGGGGTTGGATGGATGCCTTTCTTCCCTCTCTGCCCCCACATATTACTGGATTCAGTTCCTCAGCTCAACTCTCCAGGATATGTGGTGAGGCTACTGGCATCACCATCCTCTTCTCCGTCTTTCCTTCCTTGGGCTTCTACTTCTACCTAAGGTCAGTGGTAGCTTTAACCTTATCAAGATCACAGGATGGAAAAAATCTCCCAGGTATCAGGAATATGGCCCATGGAAAGACATGACTCAAACATTAGCTAGATGTGAGGAATAATAAAAAAGGAGGGGTTCTGGGTGGCTCTGGGGTCAGAGGGTAGGACAATCCTTGGAGAGGAAAGAAGAGAGGATGAGGCTGGGGTACCTCTACTGCACCCTAGTTGATCTGTTCAAGGCCACTGGACACACTAATGTGGCAGCAGGAGCAGACATGGGCCTTAGCTACCCCAGAGCGGTAATTGGAATCATGTAACTGAGATCATCTCAGTTGGGACAGCTGAGATCATCGTGAGAATGTGCAGACTAAATAAAGAGGGTTAAAACCAAAGCTGGAAGAATGCCAACGTTACAAGAATGGAGAGACTCAAGAATGGAGTACCCACAGCAGCAGGAGGAAACCGCTGATGCTGGTCAAGGATACCCAGGATTGAAGGGACCACTGCACTCATAGGCAGGGGATTCCCTGGTGCCAGTGGGTAGGGTTCACTGGCATGGCAGGGAGGCACAGAGAAGTGGGGTGAGGAAGAAGCATGAACCCTAAACAAGGGGAGGGGGAGTGGAGATGGGCAGGACGTGTCTCCAGGTGTTGAGTTCAGAAGGAAGTGAAAGCATCAAAAGGTGGAGAGATGAGGATGAGAAAATGGAGTGAGGCTCTAGGGATCTGGGCCAGGACACAAGGTGAATCTTAGAGGCAGGCAGACAGCCCCACCACCCTAACAAAAGGGACAGGTGAAGCGATGTGACAGGGTCAGATAAATCTGCAATTAGGTAGCAAGATGTCCACCATTTCTAGGCCATCAGAGAGCTTCTCTCTGGAGCAGAGTACACTCACCAGCTGAAAGTGAGGGTCAGGATGAAGCCTAGAGAAGTGGTGGTAAGGGAGTTGTGGTGGCAAGCAGGAAGGTGATGTGCAGGAGCACCAAGGGGCCCTCAGAGGCTGGATACCATCCTTTGCATTTTTCCTCTCTGGGTGTCTTTTCTCCAATAAATCTCGCCTTCAGGGGGCAGCAAAGAGGCAGCAAGCTCCTGAATCCTACTAGGGCTGTTTCATCGGGGCAGGCCTAAAAGCAGGTCCTGTGAACTGGGATCTGAGATCCTGATGCTGATGAAGAATGACTGAAAGAGGATGGTGCTGGCAGTCAGGACCAAGGGCTCAAGGAACCTGAGACTGTAGTCTGAGTGGACCAGGTTAGAGGTCGGTGGTTCTTGGCCGTGGTAAGGTACGTGATATGGCCACAGGTTTGGTAGCTACAGTGAAGTGAGGTGAAGATCCTTGAGAGGTTGTAGCAAAGGGCAGGGTGAGGGATGTTGAAGATACTCAGTAAGAAGGTAGGAACTGAGTGGAGGAAGAAATCTAGGTGGCAGATGCTCACGTCTTCCCTCTAGAGGGGCGGGGGGTGGATGTCTGAGGCAGGGAAAGTTGGGTACACCCCCTGAATTGGTCCTCAATGGCACAGGGGGTCTTACCACGTGGTGGGACTGGGACAGTCCAGGGCCTTGCCCCACCTCCCACCTCTGATGCTGAGGAGTGTGGGAGGAAGAAGGAATGTGGTATCCCTGGAGTTCTGAGAACCAAGTTTTCTGCAGGAAGGAGACAAAACCATCTGCAGGGAACAGCTCAACCCACCAGGGAATCTGATGGTCATGGAATAAGGGTTCGCAAGGATGATCATTCAGCAAGAATTTATTAAGCAGCCACATCTGCCAGGTCTTGGGATAGACACAGTCCCTGCACACAGGGGCTCAGATCCTGGCAGAGGCTCAGGGGACAGGCTTGGGTAGGGGATGGAGATGGGGCTTGGGACACAGGAAGGTACAAAGGGCAAGAGAACTCCCCTCTTGGGCAAAGAGGCCTGTGAGGAAGGGTAGCCCAAATCTCAGCAATGCCTTCAGTGTCCCTTCAGTCATGGGGGCCTCGTCTCCTTACCCAGAGGTCCATTCATTCCTTGGTCTCTTCCTTGATTGGGAATTAACCCATGTCTACTCTGCAGGCCTTTAGGTATGTGGGCTGGTGAAGGCAGGGGGTCTGGCTGCAAAGTTGGGAGGGGGGTGGCCAGTAGCTACAGAGGAGGGAAGCACTCAGGGCTCTCAGAAGTCTGTCTTAGGGGTATCCGGGCCTAGGCTGGTGGGGGGCCTCTTGGGAGGGTGGGAAAATAGGAAAGCAATTGGAGAAACTTCCAGTTGGGACTTGGACTTGGGGATTCTCCATGGGAGCTCTGCCACAATCCCTGGGGGGAACTCTTGTTCTAAAAGTCTGGGGTACTTGGCCTCCCTGTGGGCCTCTTATGGAAGAGGCATTAAATTGGGAATCCGCGTAGGAGCGAGGGAGGGCAAAGATATTTTGGAGCCACTGAGCTAAATGGCGGGAACCCCTGAGGGAGCGGCAGCGGGATCGCAGGGACCTGCACACCTGGCGGGGTGGGCTGATGGCTCTCTGAAGACAGGGAGGACACTCCTGGGCATTGGTAGGATGGCTAGGAGACCCTGTGGTAGTAGAGGTGGTAGCCTGGGCAGCAGGGGGAAAGGAAGTCCACATGGGGGCACGATATAGTTGGGCAGGCAAGCGGAGAATGCGGTGAAGGCGGTTGGCTCTCTGTGCCCTGCACGGGTAGACGCTGATCCCACGGTGGATGGCAGCATGCTCCTGGTGATCGGCAGGCTGGCTGGGAGATTCAGCATCGGGGACGGCCGTGGAATGGTGGGGAGGCCAGGTTGGCAAGTGGCCTGTGCCTTGGAGCTGGTGGGAGGCTGGATGGGGGTGGGCAGCTCCTGGCGCGCTCAGCAGGGAGTGGGCTGGTGAGGAGTGTGGCTCAGCAGTCTCCGGCGGCTCCGTGCACTTTCCAACACAGAACCTCAGACTGAGGGCCGGAAGGGACCTCAGGACCACCCAGTTTAACCTTTTGCTCGATTCAGATCCCTCTTTCCCTGGAAAGGTGACAGCCCAGCCTCTAACACACCTCTAGGGACAGAAGGATCACTACCCATGAGATCCCATGAGGCCACTGGTTTCACTGAAGGATGGCTTTAAAGAAGTTCTTTCTTACATGGAGTCAAACTAGCTTGTCTGGCCCCTGCACAGTGCTGCCTGTGCCTCACACCCTTTCCTTCTCTTCACTGACGCTCACTGGCTAAGATTAACCAGGGAATGGGTTCTTGTCCAGTCCTTCTCACAGAGGATGTAGAGGACAGAAAATATGTGAGGAAGTTGCTCCAGACAAATGCCTTGGACATTCCAGAGGAGAGCCAGGGCCCCGAAAGGAAGTGCTCTAGCAAGCATTGCAAGAATACATGCGGCCACCGAAGGCTCCTGCCTTGGTGTGGTGAGAGGGCTGGGGTAGTCCAGGCATTTAGCTGGCACTTAAGAGACTCTCCTTGGGACAGCTTAGGCCTTAATGCCTTGCTGGAAAATTCCCTAGGCGCAAGGCAAGTCTGAGAGTCACCTGCTGTGGCTGTGGCCCCTGGGACCTGGAATAAGGGGAGGCTGGAGTCCTGGGTCGAACTTCTGGGCCACTCACCGAGTTCTCGGCATCTGAGTCTTCTGAGCTGCTGATCACAACGATGCGCTCCTCTGAAACAGCGAGGGAAGGTGACATTAGGTCCTTCCTGGAATGCACACTGGCTAGGGTGGGGGGTGCTCACTGGGATAGAGTGGGGTCCTTGCAGGTCAGTAGTCTGGGGGTGATGAAGCATTGCGGGGTGATGTGAACATTCATCACATGTGCCAGGGTGGATCTGCTTTCTGTTCAGGTTTGGGTTACTAACACATGAATTTTTATCACTCCCTATTGTGCCTCATCTATGAATATTTAATGCAGCTACTGGTCCTGAATGCAGAATTTGCTCTCTATATAGGAGGCCTTAACAACCACTACCTGGTTTAGAACTTTTTGTGATTTTTCTTTTCCCCCCAAAACAGGGTCTTTCCATTGACCAGGCTGGCTCTAAACTCCTGGGTGCAAGTGATGCTCCTGTCTTAGCCTCTAGAGTTATAGGTGTATGCCACCATACCCTATAAACCTTTTACAGTCCTAAAGAAGCACATTGGCTTGTTCCAATCTTAGCCCTGTGAGCTTAGCTATCTAGAATTAAAAGATGCTTCATCTAGTTAATAGAAACCCTTTGATGATCAACAGCATTTGCGAATAAGGAATAGCAGTCAGGGCTCAGGGTATGACAAGGGTCAGGGGTCAATCTGGGACCTACAATGAACAAAGCTGAACTCTAGGTCAGGAAGATCCATGAAAAAAATTAAAACAAACAAACAAACAAAAAAACACCCTGTTATTCCAGCATCCTTGGTATTGACCTCAATTCCTGCTCAAGGACTCAGACTAAGATATCTCATGACTAAACAGCTCAGTGAGACCCTGTCTCTAAAAAAAAAAAAAAAAAAATCTCATGAGGACAAAGGAGATACTTAGGTAGAAAAATTGGGGGAAATGATGGACATGAACTTTACCCAAGTCCTCTTTGGGACTGTGCTAGTCATTCACCAAACATTTCCTGGGGATACCCACCCTGTGCACAGGCATGATGCTAGGCACTGGAAGAATGTTCTGGGGAAAGGATTCATAGCACTGAGCATGCTAGCCCCTCGGTTCCCTGAACAGGCATCACAGCAAAGCACACAATAAACTGGCAGCTCAGAGAAAGACACACAAGGGCATCCTGTTGGCTTTGCATTCCTGGGTAGGGTCAGAATGCAGAAGGGTCCCACCCAGACCCTGGAGGGCAGCATTTGCTGCCCTAACCACCTCCCTACCTGCCTCCCCAGCGTCGCCAAGCACGTGGTTGTTGTTGGGCAAGAGGACCTCTTTTCCTATGATGGGGCTTTCAGGGCTGGGGGGCCCATCCAAGTGGGGAGGTGAGACAGCCTTGGAGGTACTGGGCCTGGGCTGCTCCGGGGAACTTGGAGCCAATCTCGCCTCCTTGTCTTCCTCAGACTCCAGCTTGATGACCTTCCTGGAACACTGGGTATGGCAGGACTTCCTCTTCTTGGGGGTGGTTGTGTTGGAGACCTCCTGTGCAGTGGGGAGTCACAAGGCTAGGTCAGGGGCTCCAGGGTTGGAAGCAGAGATCCTGTCTGGTTGCTGGAGTCCTAGGGCCATGTTTTTGCTCCTGCTATTCCCTCTGCCACACAGAATGCCCCTCTTCAGACAGGAAACCTCCCACACCGCCATGCGCACTGCTCCTAGCTGCTGACCACCAACCTCTGCTGCTCTTTGACAGTACTGGGTGTCCCAGCACCCCAGCTGGGCTGGAGTGGCTCATGCTTAGAGGAGAACTTCATGATGGTGCAGCCAAGAGCAAGGGAGGGCACAGAGTAGATGTCAAGCAAATACTTCCTCCTGAAGAGCTTCTGAAGGCTGGGATTTTCACCCTAGCTTCAGCTGACTGTCCTGGTAGAATGTGGGGGCCTTCTGAAAGAGGCAGGGGCTGGGAGAGGCTTACCTCACTGTAAGAGGAGCCTTTGATGGAGAAGGCATACAGTGGCACAGGGTGTGCTCCGGGCACCGACTGTACCACAGCCACAGGTTGGGCCTCAGCCAGCCCCAGGGCCTGGGCCTGCACCCTCTGTGCCTCGTCCGGCTGTGAAGTCAGGAAACAAGAGAATCAGAAATGATCAGGCAGCAGGTCTTGGGCCCATGACCCCAGGCCTGCAGGCAGCCTCAGATAGACTCCCTGGTCCCGAGCTTGGAGCTCACTGGGGACAAGGAGTCTTCCCTCTCCATGACTTCACCTGCTCCCGACCTTGGTGTCCAGGCACCAATTAAGTTCCTGGGTATCTTAACAAGGCTGGAAGATACCTCAGGGACCACTCCTCCTCAAGACATGGCCACGAGCCAGCCCGGCTTGTACGTATCCAGGCACAAGGTGCTTGCTGCCAAGACTACACATTTCCATCAGTGAGAAATCCTCCCACAGGGCAGAACCTGGCCTCCTGTGAACTTGAGTCTGCCCCCTGGGCCTTACCTCTACTGGTCAGCTACTATACAAGTTGGACCAATTACTTAAAACTCACTGAGCCTCAGTCCCTTCTGTAAATTGGGAATAACAATACTTACCTCAAATGGCAGTATGGAAGAAATGTATTAAATTCAAGCAAAATGTTTAGGAGAGCACCTGGCACTTAAAAAGTGCTATTAATGGTGATGATGATGATAACGATGATGATAAATACTGTTTTTATTACTACTCAATGCCAGGCTCAGGGCCAAGTGCTTCATGTACCTATATCAAAACGATGTAGCAGTCATTGCTGAAACCGTATATCTCTAAATATTTTATGATACTCCATTTCTGGGTAGTATTCTTATATAGACTATATCTGTAAGCATTACCTCTTCAATAATAATTGTTATAATTATTACATAATTTTAATGCCTTTTGAAGAAACTAAGCAAAGAAAAAAATAAAAATAGATATTTAGGGGCTGGGATTGTAGCTCAGTGGTAGAGCACTTGCCTAGCATGTGTGAAGCTAGGTTTGATCCTCAGCACCACATAAATAAATAGGACAGGGGTTGTAGCTCAATGGTAGATCACTTGCCTTGCATGTGTGAGGCACTGGGTTCGAATCTCAGCACCACATAAAAATAAATAAATAAATAAAGACACTGTGTCCATCTACCACTAAAAAAAATAAAAAATAAAATAAAGAAAGAAAAAAAAATAGATAATTTTATTTCATATTATTTCTTTGCAGACGTCCACTTTAGCACTGTTTGTGGTAATAAAACTACCGACAATAGGGAACTGGCTAAACAAGGCACTCCATCCATTTAAAAGACCACAAATAGTTGGCAGGAAGCTTTCTACTACTGACTTCCCCGCCAAAAGGTGCCAGGAGACAGGCACAGTGGTGTACACCTGTAATCCCAGTGGTTCTGAAGTCTAAGGCAAGAGGATTGCAAGTTCAAAGCCAGCCCCAGCAATTTAGCAAGGGCCTAAACAACTTAATGAGACCCTGTGTCTAAATAAAATATTAAAAAGGGCTAGAGATATGGCTGTGGTTAAGTGCCCTTGGGTTCACTTCTTGGTACCAAAAAAAAAAAAAAAAAAAAAAGTGCCAGCAAAGTATTAGGAAGCTTTCTACTACTGACAGGGAAAGAATTTTGAAATACATCATTGAGCACAAAAACCCAGCGTACAATACCATGTATACATTGTGTTATGCTATCTTTGCATAATAATGAAGTAGAAAAGGCAAGCATCTACAATCATATTTTCTTATAATTACATGAAAAAATTCTGAATGATTTATAAGAAATGAAAAAAGATAAGTATCTGGGCATAAGAATTGGCAGATGAGGGAGGAGGGAGACATGCTATTTGTCACTTTCTATATTTTAATTTCTGACTGTGTGACTATATGACCTATTAGAAAATAAATTAAATTGCCTTCTTATTTTGAAAGTATGTATATGGGGATGCAGTACCCAAGGTAGTAAGAGTTGGCTTTTAATCCTGCCTCTAGTTTGCTGTGTGTGGCCTTGGGGAAGGCCTCTTTGGCTTCATCCTCTGAAAAGAGGGGCTTAGACTTCATACTCTCTTCTAGTTCTAAAACTTTCAGACTCTTAAGTCCTACCTCCCCCAGGAAGCCTCTCCTGATTGCCTCAGCCCACAGCAATCTCTCTGTCCTACGGATCACACCCTGGTAAAGCTTGCTGTACCTCTGCCTCACCAGAAGATTTGCTTTCCATGGAGAACTGCTCAGTGCTGAGCCCAGACCCTTGACAGGAACATATGAGCTGGAGTGACTAGTCTGGGGAAGAGACCACCTGGCAGGTCCAGGAAGGAACTGAGAAGGCTTATCCTGCCAGAGGGGAGCCATGCCTGTGAGCACTGAAGGGGGCAAGCTGAAGGGATGCCACCACCCAGGAAGAACTTTCTAAGTCAGAGCCATCCAGAGATGGGAGTGGCTGCCTCCAGAATGAACGACCTTCCTGTCTCTGGAGGGGTGCTCACGAAAGCTGGACAGGCGTTCTGCAGAGGTAAAGCCAACATGAGATGGCATATGAGATGGCTGTTGCTCTTAGGTATGATGGCCCTGGAATCATACCTAGGAAGGAGATCTGACTCCTGGCCTCATTCTCTCAACCAAGAACCATGTGTGGGAGAAGGACGAGGGTAAGGTCCACCTAAGTTGACCCCAGGAAATGACTTACATGTTTGGAGTAGAGTAAAGGGAACAGGGAGGTCATCTGCCACATTCAACAGGGCTGCTGTCAGTAACCACTGCCTTCTCCACCTCAGGATCTAACCCCTCTGAATGTGGCTCTGGGGCTCCTCCTGGCGCAGGCGGTTGAGCGCTTTGTGCACGAAGTCATGCATGTCCATCAACAGCTACTTTGGCATGTAGGAGGAGCTCAGAGCCATCTAGCCAAACCCTCCTTAATGCCTTCTTCAACTCCCTCCCAATAAATGCTCCAGTCTAGCCACTTGCTGTACTTCTCAGACACAGGGACACCACCTACTACCTCCCCTTCACACCTCAAACCCCTCTCACCAAGTCAACATCAAAAGGCTCCCTGGGAGTTCCGGCAGCCTCTGGGCTGGCTCTCCTGCATACAGCTGCATCTGGAGAACACAGAGAAGGGATGGCAGGTCAGAGACATCCCAGTGAGGGGCATCCTGGCCTGGGACAGTGACAGAGAGTAATTCTGTTGCTTTCTCTGGACACCCATTCTCCAGAACATCTCTGTGGAGAGGGTGGCAGTTGGAAGAAAAGCTCCCTTGTCTGCAGTAGGCCTGAACCCAGCCAGAAGGGAGAAAGGGGCAGCATTAAAGAACAACTGTGTTTGACTCCAAACCCCAAGTATACCTTTCTCCATCTCCAAGCCAACAGCAAGGCAAAAAGTAGATGACCATTTCTGCTCACTGACTCCTATGGGGTGAGAGCTCTTCCTGATCCAATGCCTGGCTTATATTTAATCTAATATAAAATTCTCATGCTTCAGACTAAAATAATTCTCTCTCTGCCGCTGACCAGTTACAATATCCAAAGCACTGTTTAAACTCTGGGGTCATTTCCCAGATATGGAGAAATACTCACTGCTTAGGTGGAGAAGGCACAAGTCATGCTCACTCTAGGAGCATGCCTTTATGAGCCCAAGTTCATCAGCTCCAGGTGAAGTAAGTAAGTTCTCCACCACTGACACCTGCTCAGGTAACTTTGGATTGTCCCTCTACCAGCTGCTCAGAGCTCAGATTCCAGCTTAGAGATTTAGTCAAAAAGCCCTGACATCCCCCATGTGCCCTGTTCCCCTCTCCCAATCATTTTGAAAGCCCCACACAGAGCTGCTTCAATTCCTGGAGTTTGATGCAGAGCCAAGCACTGTGTCATTCTCCAGCTCCCAAGTGCCCAGTACTAGGCAGAGACCAGAAAGGTTGTCAGCTGCCAGGGGTAAGGTTTTGAGCAAGCACCCAATCACTCCCCTGAGATTTTGTTAGGCCCCACCTTCCAGCTAACTTCTCTATTCCTGAGAACCGGGGCTTAAGAGCCTCCTAGAGTGGGCTAAAATGATATGCCAGGTTGGGTACTCAGGTCTGCAGTGTGTCAACTTCCACATGTTCCTCAGGGGTCACAGCTATTCTACAGGTCCTATAAAAACCCTCAAATGACCACAGCTTACCTGTTCCCTGGGTGATGCAAGAGACGAAGTCCTGCAGGCGAACCTTGAACTCCTCGAAGCCATCTGTGTGCAGAGCAGCTTGCAGGCTCTGGGGCTCCTCCTGGCGTAAGCGGTTGAGCGCTTTGTGCACGAAGTCATGCATGTCCAGAACCTCCTGGTCGGAGGCATAGCGCTTCATCCTCTGCACCAGCGCACCGCCAGTGCGGATGCGCTGCAGCACAGCATCCAGGCGACGAAGCTGGCTGGCCATCTCTTGGTAATCTCGCTGGTACTGCTCATTCACTGCATCCAGCAGCTCGCGCTCCCGTGCCAGCACATGTGCTACCACCTGGCGTACATGTGTGCTAATCAGCTCCTCTGTGTCCGCGCGCGCACGGCCCAGCTGGCCAATGGCTGAGCGCATCTCTGCGTGCGCAGTGCTGAAGGTACTGTCCTGCTCTTGCAGTGCGTGTGCCATAGTGTCCAACTCCTCTTGCCGCTGCTGGATCTCTGCGCTGATGTCGCACTTGAGGTCGCTGTGGTCCCTGTCCAGGAGTGCACAGGAACAGCACAGCGGCTTGGAACAGCCTCGGCAGTAAATACTGCGGACACACAAGACCATCCCTGAGTTAAGGCTCTCCTACAATTTTTCCCTTTAAATTTTCATTATTAAATTCCTATTCCAAAATTACCAAACTTTGAATCATGACATGTTTTTAGGTTCGTGCTGTTCCCAATTCAGTGTTAATGGTTATGTTGGTAGAACAACTACCAATAAAACAACAGTGTTTAAAAAGTTACTACAGCTGTACGCTGTGGCGCATGCCTATAATCCTAGCAGTTTGGGAGGCGGAGACAGAAGGATTGTGAGTTCAAAGCCAGCCTCAGCAAAAGTGAGGTACTAAGAAATTCAGTGAGTCTCCAAATAAAATACAAAATAGGGCTGGGATGTGGCTCAGTGGTGGAGTACCCTTGAGTTTAATTCTTGGTACCAAAAAAAAAAAAAAAAAAAAAAAAAAAGTTACTACAGTAACAATTTCTCCATCCATGCAGAGATGCAAAATTATACAAAAAGAAAGTAATACTCTCCCTTCCACCACCTCTGAGGCACCAGGTGAGCATGTAGGATGCATCCTTCCCACTTTTCTCCACTCAAATCACCTTACACAGATGCCCTGGCTGCTGCTGCTTGTAGAATTCTAAGGACTGGACATAAATCATCCCACTTAACCTTTGCAAGAGCCCATTAGGTGAGAATTATCATTATCCTTATTACAGATGAAATAACCAAGACATACTGACATTAAATAATTGACCTAGATATCTAAACAATTTGGATAGTTGATGTTTGTTCTTTAAAAGAATGAAGCCAAGTCGAGTGCATTGGTACACACCTGCTGGGCTGCATAGGACTAAAACACTCAGGGGTCACTCCAGGGGAACTGGGCTAACTGGGCTGCACGAAATAACCATGAGACAGAAATACCTTTTTCTTTGGGGATGCTGTGCCGGCTCCTCTGACCTTTAGGGGAGAGAGGGAGAGAGAGAGAGAGAGAGAGAGAGAGAGAGAGAGAGAGAGAGAGAGCGCAAGCGCAAGCGTGACCCCTTTTATTGAGGAGAAGCTATTCAAATGAGGCAAGGGGTCAGGTTTCAGAGGGCTGAGTCTAGACTCATGATGTCTGCTGTCAGCAGGTTGACTGACATCTAGGAAGGCCACACCCAAGGGCACAGTAAGAGAAGGGGACACATAAAGGGTGTTTCCATGGAACATTCTATCCCAAACAGGGCAAGGGGTAATATTACAAAGGAACAGGTGAGCATAGCTCCACCCATGGGGATGTAGGAAGGCATGCCCATGCACGAAGACACAGTAGCTTACACCCTAAAGATTGGGGCTATCGTCTGGGTTGACCCAGGATGCCGCCCCAATCAGAAGGGAAGACAGACACAGTCACGTGCTAGTCCACCTCCCCCCACACACCTGTAATCCCAGCCACTGGAGAGGCTGAGGCAGATGGATGGATTACTTGGGCCTAGGAGTTGGAGGCCAGGCCTGGTAATATAGCAAGACCCTGACTCAAAACAAAAACAAGATTATGCTACATCATCACTTTGTAACTTCTTCCTCTAGCCTTATTTCCATTTAGGGCATTTCTCTAGTTCTATAGGAGTAGATCTAATATTCTCACATTCACATTCTCATTCTCTCTCTCTCTCTCCCCCTCCCTTCCTCCCTCCCTCTTTTGATATTCTTCCCTCCCTCTTTTGATATTGGGAATTGAAGCCAGGGGTGTTTGACCACTGAGTTATATTCCCAGTCCTTTTTATTTTTTATTTGGAAACAAGGTGTCACTAAATTGCAAAGGTGGCCTCTGAACTTGCAATCCTCCTACCTCAGTCTCCCAAGTCTCTGAGATTAAAAGGTACGTGCTACCACAAGCAGCTTGTATTTTCTTTAATAGATCCATCATTTTCTAAATAGACAATGGGTTCAGTCATTCTCTCTTTGACAGGCATTCCTGTGATTTCCTGTTGGCACATCTTCTTCCTTCCTTCCTTCCTTCCTTTCTTACTTTTTATTTTTTTCCAATATGAACAATGATGTAATAACATCTATGTTATTAAATGTTTTAAGTACTTTTTTCCTATGAAATAAAGTACAAATAAGAGGATTGCTACATCAAAGAGTGTATATTTTTAATAACTTACATAATTGATATATTTAATTAATAATTAGTTTGTGAGATAATGGCTATTTTAATTAGGTGGATTGAGCCATTCCACGATGTATACATATTTCAAAACATCATGGTGTGTACTGTAAATTATGTAATTTTTATCCATTTAATATGTATTTTTCTTTCTTTCTTTTTTAGCTAGCAGACATTTTGATAGATTTTTACCACATTAATCTCCCTATCAAACCTGTGAATGTTACTTTACATGCAGAAGGGACTTTGAAGGTATGACTGAATTAAGAATCTTGAGATAAAGAGATTATCCTGGATTATCTGGGTGGATCTAATGTTATCCCAGTAGTTGTTATAAAGGAAAGAGGGGGGAGGCAGAAGAATGAGAGGAGATGTGAAGAGAGCCGAGGCTGGAGGGATGCTGTGCTGCTGGCTTTGAGAATGGACGGGGCAATGTACCAAGGAATGAAAGCAGCCTTTGGAATCTGGGAAAGGCAAGGAAAAAAGTCCCACCAAGAGCCACCTAAAAGGAACAAAGCCCTGCTGGCACTTTAATCTCAGACCCATTTGAGACTTCTGATCTCCAGATGGACAAGATAATACATCTGTATTTTTTAAGTCCCTAAATTTGTGGTAAAATGATTTTGTTATAGCAGCCATAGGAAACTAGTATAAATTCTCAGGTAAGAAGGCTAAGTTCATGCCTTTCACCACTGCTTTTTCAAATACTATCAAGAAAAATATTGCTAGTTATTTCTCCAGAAATATTGCCATAATTTGCTCACACCATCAATGGTAAGAAAAAGCCAGCCCACCTGAGACCAGGAAAAGGGTCTTAGATGGGGCTACTTTGGCCTAAGTCACCAAGATCAAATTTTTCTGGAACTACCACCAGCCTGCTGACTGGCCTGACTCCTAACTCATGTCCTCCTTCACCAGCTCTCAACATTCCCATGCCATCCTAGGTGGTCAGGTCTCAGGGCTTGATCCCCCTGATCAAACACTGGAGACTTATTCCAGGCCAGCAGAGGCTTCTGGAGAACACAGATGTGGGAACAGGTGTCGCCAATGGGTCATAGGTATTCAGCTTTTCCAGCCTTGGGGAATCTGATCTAAGTAGGAGAGACCTATCAGAGACAGGGCCTCTGATGGAAGTTAAGCAGCACCTGGAGCAGAGACAGTATTGGGCAGTTGTGGGTCTGATGTTGACTCTATGTCCTTGGCCACTCATCCCCAGAGCCTCCAGCCCTCTGATAAGACTGAGGTGTAGATGTCGAACTGGAGTGACCCATTCAGGGGCTCCCCTCAGGACCAGGAATGACCTTCTTAGTCAACTGGTTCTTCCACCCTCATTCAAGGGACACTCACTGAGTCAATACTATGTGCTTGGCAAAATGGGGGAGACCAGTGGTGAGGTGGGTATCACCTCAGCAAGAACCCAAACTCAACACACACAGGAGGAGGTATCTTTGGAAAGGCAAATAATATTTATTTGCTCCTGGAATTAAAAAAAATAAATAAACAAAATGCTGTTGTATTAATAATAAGAAATTGCTCTGCAAAGTGGCTAAATTGCACCAGAATTGACAGAGGGGGGGTGGATTAAAAAAACACCTTAAGTCTATCCCTGCAAATGGGGATATATATATATATATATATATATATATATATATGGGTTGGGAGTGCAGCTCAGTGGTAAAGTGCCTGCCTGGAATGTGCAAGGCCCTGGGCTCAATCCCAGTACTGAAAAAAAGAAAGAAAAGAAAAGAATGGGGAAAATTGCATGGTCGCATTCACAATAGCAATCTCCCCTCCCCCGCAAAAAGCTATAAAATACCTAGACATAATCCTAACATGACATGAAGAAGATGACAAAAACCCACTGAAAGATAAAGTCTAAAAATAAAACCCAGAAAAATGTAACAAGGTCCCAATTAGAGTTAGAGACATCAGACAGTATAAGATTAACTCTCAAGTTAATATAAAGATTTAAAGCAACTTTTGTCCAATTATGAATGAGATTTTGATACTTAGCCAAAATAAAGGGATAAACAGAACAAACAGCTAAAATTTTTCTGAAAAATCATCATAAGGAATGGACTTTTCTTGGCTAAAGACACTTGATAGAAGTGTCATTATTAAAAGAATGTTGCTAGGTGTAGTGGCACATGCTTGTAGTCTCACCTACTTGGGAGGCTGAGGCAGGAGGATCACCTTAGCCCACGAGTTTAAGACCAGCCTGGGCAACATGGCAAGACCTCATCTCAAAAGCAAGCAAACAAAAACAACAAAAAAGATCATGGTACTCAAAGAAAGATCAGATAGACACCCTGGCATCCTCAGGAATGTAATATACTATAGAGCAAGGAAAGCATCTCAAACTAAAGGGGTTTCCAAGAATGGGAGCCAGGGAATTGGCTGGCATTGGGGGGACAGGAGTCCAGCGACAGCCTTGCTCCTTTCTTCACATGCAGATATATTTCCAATGGATTTCAGATTTAAAATGAGAAAAACAACACCATGAAGGAGAAACTTTAGTCAACTCTTCACTTATCTCTTGATGCTGTAGAACTTAAAATCACTGAAGAAATGGAAGAATCAAACAATCCACAGATACTACTGCCTCAAAATTCAAAACGACACTTTTAAAATTTTTTTTTGCAAAGACATTCATGATTTATGTAATGACATAAGAAAGGCAAGTTATAGACATTAAGTGTTGTTCATTTTGTTTTAGATGATAAGAGATAGCAAGAAGGAAAGAGTCTATGGTAATACAGTGGTAGTAATCTCTTCCTTTCCCTCCACTCCTTTTCACCAATTTAGATCCTCCAAAAGTTTCTGTAATCAATTCTAAGATAAGGAGTTTGGACTTTAAATAGGAGCAATAAAGAACCCTCAAAGAGTATTCC